ACCTGCAGCCAGCTACCAGAAATAAAGCCAGCACAAATTCCATCCAAGTGCTCCAGCTAATCCCAGAGAACTGCTATCACACACGCAACCCTGTGTTCTGCTCAGATTGGTTTTGCTGGGGACCCTGCCAGTGCACAGATCCGAATGAATGATCGTGGAAATCAGAGAGAGAAGCTTCAAGAGAAATTCACCCAGCAATGGTTCTCGTGGACGTCAACACCCAGGACGTGCATGGGAACAACGTTAATTCCCACTTCAGGTCCTTGGCATCCCCCACACTAAGGATAACGACAGCGAACTGAAGGAAGATATGTTACGTGGCTGCCTGCAAGGCAGAAGCATCATGAGCCCAAGAACTTCTGACATAATTTTTCCCAACGGAATAGCTTGCTTGGGACTCGATGACCTCTTGGAAGAAAGATTTTTGTCACCATAGCTGCTGCCCACACAGACTTACTGCTTCTGGGGGCCTCTAGAGGATTCACCTCAACAGAAGCTGGAGTAAGATCAAGGCTTAGTTCACGGTAAGTTAAATCTCTGCAGACAGAAGAGGATAATGTGATTTGTTAAAGTTCCTAGCATTCAGTTTTCAGGCCATTTATATCATATCTTGCTGCCCTCCACTGTTTAAGCAAAACGGATCACTGAACATTTAAAAAAAATAAAACAAAACAACAACAACAAGTTACTGTCTAGCTTCTATACGTATTTTCAGAAAATTCAGATGACTGTAGCATTTTCTTTTCAAATTCTTTACTTCCAAGCCATAAAATAGATGTTGCCAGGCCCTTATAAGGATGCAGGCAGCAGCCCATTGCAGGGAAAACATGCACAGGACCTGTCTTTGGGAGCAAAAGAGCATTAAATGCAAGTACTCAGTCTCTGCAGTAAGCCCACAAATCCCAGTTACAGCCAAAACATCCATTAATTTTAAGAAATTAAGCACGCATTCTTTATGCTATTTTCTGCCTGTTACTTTCCTGGTTTCTGTAAAGTGATTTAAAATTGTACGGCTTACAACTACTCACGTAAGTACATGTATTTACATACTCAGTAACGTAGTCCTCATACCAAGTAGTCATTTCATTTTACATGTACCTGCATGACTATTGAAGAGGAATGAGGCAACATCTGTTCGCAACAGTACTGAGGCAAAAGAAGGCTTCCTGAATTTCCTCAGCATTCTTTGCCACAAACGTCCATCGGTTTATACCCGTGGTGTGCTATTACAGCCTAAGAAATTCAACACATATTTAACTGGTATTGATTATTTCATATATGCTTCATAACACCGACTTCAAAAGAAATAATACTGTCTAATTCTTTTCATTTAAAATGAGATTTTAAATCCTTTCCTTTTTCTTAAATACCTTCTGAAGTACTACAGCCAATTTTTCCTTTCAAATTTATTCTGGGGAGCTATAAACTGCAGGGAAATCCTTTTCCTATATTGCTACCTTCATCATGCAGAGAATTTCCATTACCATGATTATAGTTATGAGTATGTTTATGCTATGGAACTGCCAGGGGTGTAACCATTCCTGTGGCATTTTGCGATGGACTAAGAGGTGTGCAAAAGGCAGTCTCACCTCACTGCTCACACCCAGGGCTTCCTCTGCCTCCCCTGCACCAACACTGGCAACACCTGGACTGGGTTGAGCCAAGTTCAGGGGCGTAAACTTAAAACATAAAAATAATCCTCCCCAAAATAACAAATAGAGACAAACACTGGGAGCAGCAGTGAAGCAGGACTACATTAGGGGCAGAGATTATGCAACTGTGGGGAGAAGACACTGGCAGCCAGGGAAATATCATTAAAGTTAGGCGAGAAAAAAGAGATGTTAAGTCTACGTTGCGTTACCTTACTCTGTTCATAACCAGCAGCAATTCCCCATTAGCATTTCAAGTCTCCTTTAGCAATCAGTAAAGTGTTAACTTTCATTCCCTTCCACACAGCCACAAGGAGGCTAATTTTCAGTGACAGGTTAACAATAAATAATTTAAAACTTTGTCAAGGCTCTATGGGTTTTCTGACTGCCTGCGCCGTCACCTGACAACTTGAGAAGCAGGAACAAAGCGGTGGCAAGGCTGAGAAGTCCCGTGGTTGCAGCAAGGAATCAGAGAAAGTGAAAGAGAAGGCTGTAATGATCTGAAAACGGAGGTACATGGAACAGGGGCAGATCAGCTGAATTCAACACTTCAGCTATTTTTTATTGAAAAGCTACGGATTTAGTCTCTACTACCTTTCAAGGCTGTTCAGGCAACCGCATTGGGAGCTGGCACCTTCTGTCAGGTGATTCACGCTTTGCTTCAGAGCTGATCCATCCCTTCATAATAACTTGTTTTATATACACGGGATACCCGCTGACTGACTGACAGACACATTCATTCCTGGTGTCCCAGGACGTATTTTTTAAAGATAATGTCAAATACTCAAAATCAGCAGCTAACGGGAGAGGTAGGGGAAAACTGACCGTGTCACGTACTACGTTCTGTATAATTAAAAAATCTTTGGATTTCACTATAAGGCCTCTGCACCCTCTTCCCTGAGAAGGATAATGGGAATGGTTGCTTTCTTTTGTATAATTACAAATATAATGCCAAGTTTTTCATATCTTTATCCTAATGTATGCTTCTCTGAACAGCTCTATGAAGAAGGATTTGAAGTTTGATACACAGAAGCACACACACCATTTTCTCTCTCTAAATACCAAATCTTTCTCAATTTGGTATTTCCTAACGCACAAGTCTTCTGTCTTTTCACACAGTCTCTGGAGATTATTTCCTCCCCTCTCCTAACATCTAATCATGTTTCAGTCAACTTTAAACTAACTTGCAAGGTACTTTTGTGGCTTATGAAATCACATCTGCAGAAGCTGGAATTGTAAGGGTCTGCAAAATAACATCTAAGATGGTCGAATTGGTCACCCTGTAGGAAATGAAGCCCAGGTTTGTATTTGTTATAACTAACCTTAATCAAAGGCGGTATCCTTCCACTGACACCAATAAACCACTACTTAGTTTAAAACTTAATTTAGAAGAATTTTAACTAGGAACGAGAGAACTGTCTGATTTTCAAGCCAGTCAAACACAAAGTACCAAAGCATTGCATTACTTGGTGTTTTATATTATTATTTTTATTTTTTTAAACCACAGAAACTTTTACCTATTCCTCACTCCTCTATACAAAATTCCAAATAAGTCAGTAAACAGTGGTAATACAAAAACCTTTCTGGATGATTCAGCAATTCCTAATTGTGTGTGTGTTTTTTTGTTTGTTTGTTTTTTTTTCCTCTTTACTAGCATAGCTCAAAGATTTTAAAATTAAATTTATAGGACAATCTGTATATTTTCACCCAAGAGGGCAAATTCTGACGAAAGCATTGATGCATCTCAGCATTTGTGTATATTTTAACTTTCATACGCATGTTAGAAATAACAGAACAGTAGCAATAGCTCAGCAGACCACTGTAATACCTGACATGACTTAAACCATGGTGGCAGTGACGTGGAGGGAGGTTAAGTTGAAAATGTCATGAATCATTTAAAGAGGCGATCCTGAAAAAAAATGAAGGGCTCAAGTAGGTATAAAGTAAGAGAACTACACTTGGGACAGGAATAACTAACCGTGAAAATAAATACAAAGACAAGAACCGCTGGGCACATAACAGTTGTACAGAGAAGAATCTAATCCATCTTAAACTGCATATAAATCAGCCTGCTGAGAAAAAGGCAAGCACCCTGCCTGGATAGAGAAACAGAGCCCTTCTGTAAGACCGGGAGGATCTTCTTAAGAGTGGCTCATCCCTTCCTCCCTGATTTTGCAGTAAGACACTCAAACAGTGTGGCACTACATTTCAGCTGGGAGATGTAATTACCAGCAAAGGGACTGTACTTTTTAAACTGCCTTCGGCTGCTCCTGAATATTTAAAAGCTGGTGCTCTGATTCAGTGAAAAGACAAGGAGAGAAAAAAAAAAAAAAGGCAAAAAAATAAATACATAAAAATTGTTAAGCTCACCTATTTGCTTTTGGCCCTTTTTAGTTCACGAGGTAAGAGGTGCTAAAGGCTGATTTCCTACAAGCTTCTAGACTCTGGCTGTCTGATTACTTTTCCAGCCAGCTCCAGTCAAACAGCCAGCGAAGTCAAACATCCAACGTGAACTCAACATTTTAAATCCACCAGTCTGGCTTAGCACTGAAGTGGTGTAATAGTATTCATACAGGCTGCAACTGCTCAGAAACGGGTCAAAGACTGGTAACCTCCTGTGTGACATGACATATGGGAATTCAGTGCACTTCACTGCTGAGCCAGTTCTCTCACACCCAAGCGTCTCTAGGGATGTGCAACAACTGGTCTGAAATCGCATTAAATATTGGTGTAGACCTACTTTCAGGCTGCCTTTTGTATTTGCTTTTTCAAACTATCCTTCTTTCCCGATTCATTTCTACATGCTATCACTGGTCCTCAAAAGGAGAAGCAGCAACAGTTGAGATGTATTGTAAACCTTCAGAGGAGGTTTCTGAACTGAACATTACATCCTTGTCCCTACAACTCTTTTGTCCCAACCTAATTACACTACCCTATCCTACACGAAGAGCTGTGAAGCTTCTTGGCGTGCAGGTTCTCTGCATCAGCTGTAAAAGACTTCTCTGGAGATCCGTCACGAAGATTAGCAGTTACTAAATGGCAGTATGCAATTTCATAGGTACTAAATTATGACATCAATACATGCATTCTTAACTCCGTGACAGATGCCTTGCTCTCATTTTGATTTTCTGTGATGAGTTTAAGAAGTCAGCGCTGCTCCAGCACCCGTGTTCAACACAGCTCACAGCCCATGGGAACATCGTAAACTTCATCCTCCCTACTCAGTTGAGCAACCAGACTCCACAGACTGCCTAGGCTCCAATTTGGCACGTTGACTGGACTCGTATGACTCCTTATTCAACTAGAAATGCTTAATTAGCAATAACAACTTCACTGAAGTGATTAAACAGAAACATTAGAAATGAATATTTACATTTACTGTTACAACTTCCAGGTTTGTTGATATACAAATTACATTAAATTACAAAAATAGAGAGAATTGGATACAACTCACTGGGAATATACCACATACAGCTTTATACATTTGCACCCATCTTTTCTAAGAAATAAGAGTACCTCCTTTTCTGAGGTCATCAAGACTGAAATAGAGGAGCACAAGGAGACAACTGCCATAGGTACACAGAAATAAAGCAACACCGCAGTAGGTCTGCTTGAATACTTCTGGCTTGATCAAAATCCCCGTGCCTTTTCACTTTTCCACTACCATTTGCAGCATCGTGTACTGGATGTACATTAAAATCTTTTGAGCAAGGCTAAAATTAAAGGGGTGATTATGGCAAAGAAGGGTGGTGATATGCCACAATGGCATGTTATTTCTTTAATCATAAAATTAACAAATATTCACTTAGAAATGTAAGGTAAAAGCCTTTACTTGGATCTGTCCCAACATCATTCAGGGAGACTTACAGTTACAGCCTGATTCTGAATTTGTTTTCTTTCCTAATGTGCCTTTTTTTCCTAGCATTTGCATTTTCTTGCTCGTCTTTAATTAACTTCTTTCTGTGCTCATAAACTTGGAGAGGATTTTCTCTAAGCTCTCACATCTCTAGCTTATATTAAGACATTTTAAGCTTTAAACCTCTCATAAATTTAATGTATATAAACCATTTTAGAAAGACAGAAAAGCACTAGCAAAATGCACTCAAGCTGAAAATTTTTACATGAACTTTCTATTTGACACAACTTAAAACTTATTTTAACATGTCTTAAGAACCCCTGAATGGGCCCAATCACAACAACACTTACTTTATTCCCTACAGAGTAAAATGAAGCAAGCTGGGAAAGGATGGGGAGCATAGGGGATGGAACAGGAAGAGCTAATCCAATCTGAAGCATAAAAAGACTGCAGTAAACACAACGTTTACTTCAGGGAAAGAGCTTTTTGAGTCTATTAAATTAAGAGGCTGAGCTACCAAAACATGCTGGGAAAAAATCAACATTATAAAGACAGCACAGCTATAGTGATGGTAATGCTTATGGGCAATTGTTTCAAAATAAGCACAGTGGTTTAAGAAAAGAGATGCTTCTCTGTGGTAAATGGTGGACCTGACTTTAAAATTTTCTCTCTGATTATCTGTATCGCTCTTATTTTGAAATATTTGTTTTTATCTACAGTGACAGAGCAGTTCTCTTCTACTTGCTGTCTAATCCATAGGGTATTAGTAGTGCAATGTTGAACGTTACCTCCTTTCCTGGAAGTACCAGGATTTCTAAAACTTGACAGAAGTAATTCCTACATAAAGCTTTCTCTTTTAATCTGGTACTTCAGGAGGACTGAAGATACATCTCCTTACTGTCTCTCCTTCCTGCTCACCTCCTCATTTTTCCCCACTGGATGAAGAAACCTGAATGCCATAAATACCAGCTGAATACATGGCACGACAGACATAAGAGTTGCCTGCCCCAAGTGGGAAAAGGAAAAAGACAGGCATCCTGAGGATCAACTCCACAGACCAATTTGGAGTCAAACCCAACCTTTGAACACTAGTTCCAGTTCTTTTCCTCCTTTTAAGGAGGAAACACCATGAGCAAAATGTGCACAAGACACCCTCTGAGCCTACCCAAGTCTAATAAGTTGCATTGTTCATACTTCTCACTATCAAGATCATGGTAAGAAAAACAATGTATTGTGCAATACAGTCTAATTTATAACTTTATAAACAGTCTAATTTTGCAAAACACACCCTAAATCAAGTGAGCTGGTCAGCGCTGATGCACAGAAACAAAGCCCCGTGCTCACTGAGTGGCTGTGTCAGAGGCCTGGAATAAGGTGATGCTCCTTGTTTGAGCTCAGTGCTTCTGTTTATTTGCTAAACGTTGCCTGTAACAGCAATTCATTTGAACACAGAATTTATAAAAAAAATACTGGGAAAAACACTGCTTCCTGAGACACCGGTTTTTACATTACTGTGGCAGTGAGCAGGGTGAAATCTCTCTACATATAACAACGAACTGAAATGGATTGGCAGAGGATACACAGCTACTAATTCCCCTTTTTAAATTATGTGAGTCTACATCTGTTGTTAAGGGACACATTAGGATCTCAATTTCAAGATGAGGAAAAAAATTTCCCTGTTGTCAGGCTGCACTGATTCTCTCAGATTTCGGCTGGGACCCAAACAGACCGGAGGGGCTGACAGGAGGGGTTCCTGCCGATGCTGCTAAAGCTCCTGCCCTCCAGCGATACCACACACGAAGGCTGTAAGGAGCAAAAAGCCATTGCTCTGCAACCACTGCAGCCTTCCTGACATTTATTTGCAATTAGCCAGCCATGGGGCTGGTGCTCCAGACATGGCTTTTGAAGCAAGGAGGTGCATCTCGGAGCACGATGAGCGCTCACAGCTGAGAAGCCTACAACCTCTGCAGGGGCTGCTGCTCGAAAAGACAAGCTTCAGCTCTCAGTGAGCACTGGGGCTGACTCTTTATCATGGAGAGATGCATAAATGAGCCCCCACTTACACGGTCTGCCGGTCCTAATTTTGTTTCTCACAGTGCCTTTATGCCACTTCAGCCCTTCCCTCCTTCCCTTTGAGAAGAGGTAGAGACGATGTTGTCCTGGCCCTGTTTCAAGCAGATTTTAGAATGGGTCCTGAAAGCTTGGTAGCGTGAAAGCAATATGATCTGCCCCGTGGATATACAGAGTTTGGGCTTTCAATGAGAAAGACTTGAAAGCTGTAATGCTGTTACTGTATTCTCACCGTGAGACCTCATTTAGCAGACCTATATAATTTTGCTCTGAGGGACCTCTGGGCTGACTCAGCAACAAAGGAGAAACTTTGTCACTGGCCTTCTGTGCTGCCACCTAAAGTTCCTGCATCTGGAAATACAAGCAAGATGTGAGCACACGTAACTCCCAGAGTTAATGCGCAGTGTATGCATGCTGGCACTTTGGGTAGAAGGACGTTACCAAGGAGAACCAAAGAGAAATTGAGGGTAGATGTGGCACCTTCTCCACCAATCTTACTTCCAGCCCATCCACAGCCTCATCAAAACATTCCTTTTTCCTGATGACCTGAAGACATTTAGCATGAGGATGGGCACTACTGGGAAGGCAAAAAGCCACTCTTGTTCTGAGCTTGTTGCTCCCCTGCATACCAATCAGCTTGCTCAGAGGTCTTCCAAAACTACTCAAATGGCCAGTCCCCATCCCCAGGAGCAGCATCACTGCTTTGCTTTCACTGATAACTGCACTGACATCTATGATCACATATCCAGCCAAAACAACCGCGGCATGTACACAAATCCATACAAGTCCATGTAGTTCCTGCCACTCTCTTTCCACATCAGCATCCCGCTTTCAGGACCACAGAGCTATCAGAAGCCCTCAGAAAAGCTGGGCAACCTTTACCCTTCAGCTTTGTTGGAAAAGTCCCCGCTGCCTCAAGATGGAAGTCTTCTCACTCGTATCATTCCCTGTTACGCGGAACATGGAGTAATGTGAGCAGCTGCCACCAGTTTTATGATCTGTCTTTGGAGAAAAACAAGAGCTGGGAGACAACACAGAGAAGAACGCTGCTGCAGCTTTCAATACAATGCACCATGCAGTGTACACCAAATATTCCCAGGTGTTTAGCTGCTAGCTTGTACCAATGCATCCTTCATTGTCTATAAAGGCAACCTATGTCCATATGTATCAGATATTTATAAACCAAAGCTGTCAGGAGCGTGTCATTTACAGTGCTGCTGAGCAGGCAGATCCAGATTGAGTGCTGAACATGCTCCCTGCCCCTCTGATCCCCAGTGCTGCATCCCAAGGCACACGGCGATGGGCACATTTCCCCCCAGGTGCCCATCTCTCGCCTAAGGGGCTCTATGAACGGCAGGGAGCTGCTGATGGCCTGCAGAAGGTCTCTGCTGCCAGCCCTGTGGCTGCAGGGCCACGACAGCCTGCCCTCCAACAACCTGTCCTTCCTACCTGCTGACATCCCCTGCACTGCTGAGGAGGCTCAACCTGGCTTTCCGTGTTCCCTGGAGGTAAACAGGAGGAAAAATAATCTTAAGGTACCGTCTCTAGAGGACATTTCAAATGGAAAAAAAAATATATAGCTAGGAAAGAAATGGAGTTCTCTGCAGGTGTCACTGAAAATATTATGCTATTACAGAAGCTGACAACCTATCCAGACCAGCGCTTTCCGAGACCATCTGAGAAGAAAGGTAGGTAACAGGAACAGCAGAGGTCCACAGAAGGGTAACCAAAATGCCGAAGATATTGAGAAGCCTTCCACATGAGCGCACTTGTTTCACTTTGAAATTTTTAATTTAAACAGTGAGTTAGCAGAGGTGATTAGGCGTTTCTAGCCTTCAAACAAAGCACTGCAGCAACTGATGAGATTAAGATGTAACACCACTTGCAGCTGATAAAAAGAAAAGAAAAAGAAAACAACTACAGAGTTCATGATTCATTTTACCACAAGTTATGAGTGAGTATAAAACACAGTGGAGTTAAAGCACCGAGATGTTTCCTTATTGTGCTATTCTAAATAAAAACAATGGCAAAGGATATACAGCAACAGACCAACAAGGCTACAAAAATTTCATTCAAATTTGCATTGCTGCATAATTGAATGTGGATTTTGTTCATGTGATCAAAAAAACCAACATTATTTTACTCATTATTTAAAACAAACAAAAAAAAAAGATACTTTCTTACAGTCACAGAGAAGATCCTGGACTACAGTGACTGATATCTGCCACTGTGCATTCCAAAAAAAACAAACATTTATTTTGAACTACAGCATGAGTCACAACAGCACCTTATGCTCTTCTCTCTAAATACAGAAACAACCCCCAGCTCAAGGAGTTTAAAAGGCTGGAGAAGTGGCAAAACAACAAAAAGGAGGGGCACAGTGTAGCCAGACATGCCTTGTACTTGGGCAGAGCTCGTGCTATGGGGGCTGTACATGTTAAGAAAAATCTACCCACTTCTCTACAACTTACCTTCATGAAGTGAACAGATGCAGTGCACAAACACAAGATACAATTTTACATAACCAAGCAACTGGTTATGTAAACCCCACTACACCCCACTACAAACAGACAGACCTATCTTTGGACAGAAGTTTTGCTCTCAGACTGAAATGCTGGTGGCTTTGATTTTTATGAGCTTAATTAATCAGTGTGCCGGCACACTGTGTTTGGAGGAACATCTGAAGTACGTGTTCTTACAAAAATAGATTACCAGAAGTTATGTCTGGAAAGTAGTGAGATTTTTTCAAAACACATTGATTCTGAAAACACGTGTTAATTATAAAGTGCAACTAACAGAAATTTTAGCCTGCTTTTATTTTCTTACAGTTTTGCTGTACACAGACACACAAAAAGTCTTAAGCCCTGCTACATGTACCTACCTACAGACTGCCAGCACACGTTGGGGCTAGAAAATCCGTTCTGTAGGAAACCTAACATTAAACTTCACTGCTGTCCAAGCGTATGTTTACTGAGGTGAGCTTTAAACAAGAATATTGCAGCTCTCCAGACAACCTCCATTTGTCAATGCTTTTCTCCTCAGAGATCAAATAGTCCCGAGATCCTACAAGAGTAAGTAGCAAATAATCGATGTACTTGCTCACCATACACCTCATCTTCATTGACTTCCACCCTACAGAAAGGAAGAGCAGCCATTGTCATATTCCCCAGACATGCTGCCATCTGTCAAGTGTTGGCTATTGGCTAACATTGGCTTTCCAAAACTTTATTACCCAGTGCAGCTAATTATCCCTGGTGGAACTAAGCAATAGAAAGTTTTGTTATTGTTTTTATTTGGACATTACTTCTCTTGAACAGATTTTAAGCTGTGGGCAATGCTGTTCTCTGCTGTTCTGTTCTTTTGCTGAGTTCCCACTGGTCCAGCTCTATTGTTAGCAAAGCAAAGGAAAAAACAAAAACAAAAAATCACTGGCTAGATTATTTCATATAGCAAAACCCAATTTACATTTCCTAACAGGAAATGTATCCAATTACCTCTAGGTTGTCTGTACCATGGTCTGCTACCAAGCAGTTTTATTTTGCTCAGCTCGCCTTTTGGAAATAATTTATAGAAATCTGTTTGCTGACATTTTGTTGCCAGAAATCAGCATTCGTTTCCTCCAGCATTTAACTCCACCTGGTTTTTGTTTTGTTCTTCCTTCTTCCAGCCCCCTGGCTTTGACGAGATCCTGAAGTTTCCCTTACAAATTTGGAGTCATGAGTAAAACCAGTATAGAACCAGTAAGACCCTTTACAGATCAAGGGAGCAAGGAGGCAACCTGTTACTGCAGTGGGATCCTACTGGTTAGCTTTGTGTAGGATGGCACACGTGTATGTTACTGACTACGGCACCATTTATCAGATTACTACAACTGAAAGCAACATTTGAAATCAAAAAGAAAGAAAGAAAAAAGGCAATTAATAGAAATACAGGTAATAAAATAGAAAATAAAAATTAGATTATATTAGAAATAAACTGATACGTAATTAAAATGTTTTGCATAATTCAAAAAAATAAAAACAGGATAAAAATTATTGGATACTAATATTTGTAAATGCAAGATTTATAAAATCCATGCTTAGATTGAATGTGGAGAGATAAATAAAGAATGGTATCAATTCAGAAAAGAAATATGTCCAGAAATGTTCAATAACATAGTGGAAGCTAAATGATCATATTTCTAACACGACAGAAAATACAGACAGATATTAATGGATCTAAAGAAATATGCCTGTAGGTTTGGGGTGTTGGGTGTTGTTTTTTTTTGAAAACAAACAATAATGTTTTACTTTAAAATGACAGCACATCAAAATTGCACACATTTCTATAATAGATTTCTGTGTTCTTATTCCCATTTGTGATATGTTGGTTTGAAAGATTGAAAATTTTGCTCTAAGGTGTTCTTGCAAATGGTCTCTCCTAAACTATTCCTGAAAATCCCTATAGATATCTGCAGGTACCATCTACATGCACAAAACGATGCAGCAGCATCTCATGTTCCATTCTATTTACATGTTTAAAAGCAAAACCCAAAAGTAAAACACATAAACAAGACAGGTTAGAAATTTATTTTGAAAATAAATTCTTCAAAGCAACAGAAATTAGCTCTTAAGTTTATGACAGACCTGTAGGGAACAGTCACACCTATATTCCATAGGAGTCAAAAACACAAAGTGATTTAATTTTTAGAACCACTAGGAAAGAAAGGAAGGACTAAAGTGAAATCAAAAGGTCTCTACATATGTTTCTGTTCCTCTTACCTTGAGGGATGTGGTAAAACACAGAAAAGCCTGACTAGAGTAATCAGAGATAGGAAACTGTTTCCGACCCTAGAAGGATTAGATAAGCAACCTTCTGCCAGGGACACAATGAACTGAGGTGGGAGATGACAGTGGGCTACAAAATCATTTACGGCATAGCAAGTAAGTTGTCACTGATCACTCCCTCTCCGTTCACATGATTCAGAAGGTATTAATTTAAAAACAATCTTCAATACAGCATTGCTATGCTTATAGAAGATTTCAATAGTTGGAGAAATGACCATGCACATGCAGGATCTTTGCAAATCCTTAAACAACAACTTAACGATTTTTCTGAAAACATCACTGAACACCTACAGTCACATTGCCTGGGCATCCCACTTAGGTAAGTCAGCCAATTATTGATCTTTGATCTTTGCATCATCTTCAAGACGAAACTTGTCAACTATGCATTGATTAAGTAGGCTCACTGACCCCCTGGATAAAGACACAAGATATTGTAGGATTTGAGGTTCTCCCACCTGTGTTTCTGCCAACAAAACATACCCAGGAATATTCTCTTCACTTTGATCTATCTAGCCTGCAAAGGATTCAGAATTAAAATTAAATAAATCAAAGTAACATGAAATATATGACAATCAACACGGCTCAGTTTGGGAATCTTGGAAAAGCTGGGCTCACTCAGTCCCAAGGTACCATTCATTAGTCTAAATGAAATACTTGCTTGAATTTGAGAAATTCATATTTCATTTGTTTCATTTTCTCACCTTTGGACAAACAGCTACCTGACAAATTTATCCCGATTTGCCTTCTTTAATCTCAGCCACTCTGGGTAGCTGTTACATGTTGTTTAAGCAGAGGACTATTACACACACACCTGTGCTAAATAATTTCCTGATAGCAATGTCTGACAAAATCCAAAAGGATGAGTTAGTGGACTGAAGATCATCAGCATACCTCAGATTTTAAATCAATGGGATTAATGTAGCTATATACCCTGTATACCTTAATAAACATTGCCATACAGTATTCAACAACCCTCAAGAACTCTCGTTCCTTACCTCTTGCAACAACTGTCAGTAACTGGACAACACTGCCTGCTTCTGACAGGCATTTAACTCAAGAAGAAGGAAGACAAGCAGCAGATGCAAATGAATTACATTCCTGCAAATTCACCTTATTTTTCAGACTGTAGTCCAACCCTTGTAATTCCTAAATCCGATAGTAGATTACATGCTCTCCAGCATGGGGAAGAAAAGTGGCCCACATTTCAACTCTCAAATAAGTTTTAGCTATAAGCTTCCAAATGCCCATCAAATTACCTCTAGCATTTCGCAGGAGCTGAAAGAGCAAAGCTCTTTGGAATATTGTTAACAGCACTGAACATCCTATTCACACTACTCCGTCTGGGTCAGTGGTTTTCTTGGTGACATTTATTTGACAGGAGCACAGTGATGCCACCTCTGTGGTCAGTGAAGCTCTGCATCCCAGCTGATGCTTTCTCTGCTAAAACACAGACACATCACCCTCAGGAAGAGGCAGCAAACCTGCTGCAAAGGACTTCCAATATTGGATACTCACGTATCCAAAGCCAGACCTTTCACCTTCTGGTACAGCCAGCCCTTGGCATCAGATTTCCTAACAGAAACCAGGCAGTTCCCAGCAGTTCAGCCTCTAAAGGACTTTCTCGTTGACCATTAATCTCACCAGCTGAGATGCAAGTACACTGAAGGTTCGGAAGA